AGGTGTCCCTGTGATGGACTGGAGACATGTCCAGGTGTCCCTGTGATAGACTGGAGACATGTCCAGGTGACCCTGTGACGGACTGGAGACATGTCCAGGTGTCCCTGTGATAGACTGGAGACATGTCCAGGTGTCCCTGTGATGGACTGGAGACATGTCCAGGTGTCCTTGTGATGGACTGGAGACATGTCCAGGTGTCCCTGTATCTGCGATCAAATCTGTAAACTGCTCCATGATCAGCTGTGATTGTTTAAACACGTTAAAGTTCTGGAAACAGTTCGGTCCAACTTCCTGTTTAAATGATGGTTCTGGAGTCTGAGCTGCAGGTCCAAACGGGCCCGGGTTCAACGCTCACTAAAATAAAACATCATGACGTCTACGGGGGATTATTTTACTTCACGTTCTTCTCCGTTCTGCCTCGAAACATCAGGACTCGCAGGTCCAGATGGAGCTGGATGTTCTTGTTTTCAGAACATCACCATGGAGACAAAAAGCAGCCAATCAGGACGTGGTCCTCCCGTTACTAACCACAAACTCAAAACTAATTACATTTACAGTCACAGGATGTTTTACTTCAAGGAAAATATGTGAAAGTATGTTTACAAATGTTTATTTTAGTAAAAGCCAACTTTATTTACAAACATCATAATTAAATGGTGTAAATGTTTTAAAGCAGCTGTGAAAATTAAAGCTTTTAGTTCAAACGTGTCACTGACGGCTGATGATGGTCGTGATGATCATCTTTCATCGTTGACGTTCGGCTCGTGTCAGCTTGAGTTTTCTCTAGCTTCAGCTCGTCGTTCGGCTCGTCTCAGAGGAATCAAACCTCGGAGCTCAGCAGGATCAGCAGGTCTTCAGAGGTCTTTGGGGTTGGTTCCAGTCGGCTGTGATTTGGCCGAGACACAAAGCTCAGCTTGGACTGGGCCATGGGTCCTCTCTGGTCCTGGTCTTCGTGGACAGAATCTCGGTCTGGTATCGTCAGGGTGTCAGTTCTGGTTTTTTGCAGAAGATGTGGTTCTGTTGTTCTTGGACTTATCTGAGCTGTCAATCATTTTCCTGCTGAACCTCTGACCCCACATCCTCCACAAGTTCTCAGTTTGAGACATTCGTCCTGAGTTTTATCATCATCTCTAACAAATCTGAAATAAACTTCATCAATAATTATGTAATAATAACAATATTATAATCTATAATCTATAATATCGTTTGATCGTGGAGGAGAAGTCCAGGCTGAGTCTCTGAAGTGTAAATAAAGTTTTCATGTTTGGGTTCTGGACAAACGACTGAAGGGAGACCAGCAGGAGACCAACAGGAGACCAGCAGGAGACCAGCAGGAGACCAGCAGGAGACCAGCAGGAAACCAACTGGAGACCAGCAGGAGGCCAACAGGAAACCAGAAGGAGACCAACAGGAAACCAGAAGGAGACCAACAGGAAACCAGCAGAAGACCACCAGGAGACCAACAGGAGACCAGCAGGAAACCAGCAGGAGACCAACAGGAGACCAGCAGGAGACCAACAGGAGACCAGCAGGAGACCAGCAGGAGACCAGCAGGAGACCAACAGGAGACCAGCAGACCAACAGGAAACCAGCAGGAGACCATCAGGAAACCAGCTGGAGACCAGCAGGAGATCAGCAGGAGACCAACAGGAGACCAGCAGGAGACCAACAGGAAACCAGCTGGAGACCAACAGGAGATCAGCAGGAGACTAACAGGAGACCAGCAGGAGACCAAAAGGAGACCAGCAGGAGACTAACAGGAGACCAGCAGGAGGCCAACAGGAAACCAGAAGGAGACCAACAGGAAACTAGCAGAAGACCAGCAGGAGACCAACAGGAAACCAGCAGGAGACCACCAGGAGACCAACAG